AGCAGGATTATATGTCAAATGTGCAGTGAAATTGAAGTGTTTCAACTTTGGATTAGAAACCAACATGAATAGCCGCTATTTTACGCGACGGTAGTGCAAATTAAACCGTATTTGCAAGTGTTTGCCCCAGCGCATGTTAGTTTTATTGAAATTTTACCGTTTGAAACTGAATCGTTTTTTTTTTTATTAAAATCGACTATCAATTCGATCGATTCAATCTCAAGTCCGGCCATAATTAGTTAAGATGCAGTAGTGCTTAAATTACAAATTATATTCATTTTTCTAAAGTATTATTATACGAGCAATTAATAAAATCTCAATAATCCTCGTTCAAACTAGAGACATATATAACAACTCGTGTTTGAAAACGTGACTCATCTATGGCACTCCTTCGATCAAGGGTACTACAAATTCACAAGCTATATTCGTGGTGTATTATACAATATACCACAATAGCTCATTAGTCTTCGACAATCAGCAAGCCCATTAGTGGCGTAGGACGGCAATTAAAAGCTGTTCAAATGCTAATACTGCCTGGCAGACTGCGCATTCTTATTATAAAGAATATAGTATATGAACTGGTAAACTGACAGCCAGCGGAAAACGTAATTAGCAAGCGTAGGCTTGTTAGTCGTTAGTACTTTGTCGTCCTGTATTAATTGACTTCTTACCATACATACAAGGTCTATAAGGCTTCTTCTGTTTTGTCATATACGGTTCTTAACAACAAGGACGTTTATCGGATGATGTGCAGTACGTTATTATCTGCTTGGCAAGTCTTATTTCTCCTTCTGTTTTTGTATCTTTAGTATAGGTAAACTGTGTTTTACTCGTTAATTAAAGAGAGAATGGCAAGACATGTAAATAGAAGACAAACTTAAAATATAATCACATGGAGCATTTATTCTTATATAATTACCGAATACCTTATCTACTTGAAAGTTGCTAATTTGAAAGAATCTGACTCTAGTAAGACGAAAAGTTTGAGAATTGAATTCGTAAGTTGTATGTACAGATTTTATACGGAGTTTGACAGAGTTTTGGTGTTCACTGAAAAAGATGATGTACCGAACACCTTGTAGACAGAGCTCAAGACGCGAGTGGTTGGCTACATGAAATAGACGGAAATAAATAAAATAGGGTACCGTTGTTATTAAATTTACAGCTCTGGAAACACTGGACAGGTAATATTAGAATTTAGGATACGTCTGTAACCGGAAAAGAACTAGGGCGTTTGGAGTATATTTCAGGTCCGAATAGGATCATTAAACAAATTTTGCAAACTACAAGTCATCCGTATTTCATAGAAGATCACACTCACTACCAAATATGGTAGACGTTTATTGTTCAATTGAGCGAGTTCATTTATCAAACCACTTAGGGGGCCTGAATAAATAATTTTCCGGTCAGTGTCTTGCACTTCCGGGTTATGACCAGTTTGGGTATCCGGGAAAAGTGAGTCCGTGTCTCATGTCCAACGTCCATGTGAACTCTAACGTATGTATTCTATCATTAGTTTATTTAGACATTTGCTCAGTTGATGGATATTACTAACTAAACTTAATCAGTTTAGTCACTAAGGCAAGGTCTTAGTTCGGTCTCGTACGCTCGCTCGCTTTTCAATATAATATATTCGACTGCCAAGTACGCTTGCAATTAATATATATAAATATATATCAGTATGAATGCTAAATTATTAATATATATGACAGTCATATTTTATTCTTAAATTATTGAATTATGTCCATATCTCCATTGTTAATTATAAAGGCTTTCAATGTCGACGTCTTTCGTTTAATTTATTGAAAGTCCAAGTCTTTGCGAAGCGCAACCCCCAATTTATATGAATTGTTACTTAATCGCTTTTACGCCGGGCAAGCAAGTTTAATCAAGTATAGCTCATTCTTGTGTGATCACTTCATTTTATACGTCCACCCTCCCTTAAATTTCAATTATGAATTTCGATTGAAAATTTTGTCATAACTGAATGCATTATCTTCAATTTGTAATGAGGTTTTATGATTAAATCAAAATCAAATGCGTTTTTTTTTAATTTAAATGTATTTATTGCTGAATTAAATAAAAAATTCATCAACTTATGATGCAAGATCATGAATATATGGAAATTTTTTTTATGAATAAACTCGAAATCATATTTAAGAAAAAGAAGTCATTTTAACTGATAATGTAATTTCTCATATCAATTTTGAAAGCAACTGTATGGCTGGGTAACTCCATTATTTTTAACTAATTTTATTCAGGATTTAATATAAAAATAGCCAGTTGGTCATTTACCGTGTGTAAACGATTATTTTCGTTTCAATTTTGTAAATAACTCGTATTTGCAATTAAATTGATATAATTTTTTAAAATATATATTAAAATATTAAACGTCAAAATCGAGATATGGATAATATAATCCAACAAATTTGTTTCAATTTATTAATCTAGAGCCCATTTACCTGATTGTGTTCTTTTCACTAAATTGACGAGCTGTCGGAAGTTATTATTTAACATTGATCACACTTGATCAAACATAAACGATTCAAACACGTGACAAGGGTCGTATAAAAGGACAGGATGTGTGGAGTGGAGTTTAGTTTGATTGAGGTGATGAACCAGTATTTGTTCCTCGTTTTGGTTATTCGAGAGTTGAATAATTTGGATTTTTTCCTCCATTTACTTTTCATCAACAGTTTGAAGAGTGCTTTTGATTACTAAGTAAAAGGTATGGAATTGTTGCTTCCATTTTTATTTTTGTGACAATAAGCATACTAAGCATTTTGGGTAATATGTAGACATTATTAGTCGTTCTCAATATATTGGTATCGCATCGGCGATATTTCGAAGTGGAAGTAAAAATTGAAACTAGAGGGAAGGAGTTCAGCATATGACGTCATCGATATGAATTGCGTCATATTTGTTTAAATCTGATAGCATACTTCGCTTATCGTATCGCTACCAACAATAATTTATAGAAGAGCACTTCTTTGGCTACGACACCGAACCCTTCAGGTGAAAACGGGATTTGCAAATCATGAAGGTAACGTCGTTTGGATTTTTCATCGGTGGCTATTACCGTACTTTGCTGTTTCTCAACAAGTACTCTATTTTGCAGTGGGATCTTTACGTAACGGTCGAAAGCTGTTTTGTAGTTGATAGATCAATTAACATAAAAATAGTGGACCTGGAACTTACTTTTCTACTTGCATGTCAAGAAATTTAACACCATCTTACCGTAATAAATTTATTATTTAATCGTGTAATAGTTTTTTGAACGCCGGATGCGCTTGTACTTCCACGTTTAGAATTTCTCAGCACACTTCCAATCAAAGCGAAATGAATTGGGTGCATTTTTAATCGCATTCAAGTGATACCCTTGTATTAAATGTTCTTTCGCGTGTAATTAAATTAACACACAATATCATGCTTTTAGCATAACACGGGTTGTGAATAAACCTTACCAACCAGGATTGAATTATTTGGATCCAATCTGGCCAAAAGTTTGAAATATTTTTCGGATTTTATTTCAAGTTTTTTAATGGGAACATAGTAATGAAAGTCATTCAACGCGTCGTTACATACTTATTTTTAGCGTAATTGCAAATGAAAATATGGGACCTATACAAATTTTATAGAGTTCATTGGCAGAGAGCAACCATACAGCCAAACGTTAGTCACTTTCGTATTTTATAGGATAAAGGCACAGATGTGTATATAATTGAAAGATGTAGCAGAATCGTCTAGAAATTAAAATTAAATATAATTCCAAGTTGTGCAACTGCGTTTCCATAAGATGTGTTGAACCATACTTATAAAGGTAATTTCAGTCGATGTTTTGAATTAAAAATTACAATAAATAGTGTACGATTTTTCAATATCTATGAAGGACTTTATATTTCTTTCCTGCACAGGTATTTAGCTGGGGAACTAGCCAATACCCATTAATGTAAAATGTGTTTAACTTGAATATTACGGATAAATTACGGATAATGTCACGGTGATAATCCCGCCTCGTTTAAATCCATTAATTATTTTCATATGTTAACCTAGCGACCTAATTTTGTCCATGTTTCGTGTTAAATTACGGCAACACCCAATTAAGGATATGTGCCTGGTCTTGTCTTGTTAATGGATCGTTGTAATATACAAGTTACATGTATTGGAATACATGGTATCTTTAATGACTTAGTTAGTTATCTCTTTGGCGTCTTTTGCTACATATTAACGTAAAACTTTGTACAAATATTTAATTAGTTTTCCTTCATTAATCTGTCAATAACTCATCAGTGCGTTCCTTGTAATCTACTAAATAAAATAGTTACGTTGATCAATCACGGGAACGAGATAAATATTGAATTTTAAAGCATGGCCGTTTGAATTCGAGCAAAAGTTTTTTTAAATTTGCTGGCGTGCTGCCCTTCGCCTCTTATACTAATTTAAACATAAACTATATATCGTAATATATGAATACATCGCCATGATATCTTTTTATAGTTAAGTATTTGTGTAGCCTGATTAGGATTTCTTGTTAACCGCTGGGTAGGACGTTGCAAGGGCAGTAAACGTGATATTTGATGGGACGTTCCAACAGATATATTTTATTTATTAGAAAGGCAATAGAATATGGTAGATTGAGAGTATTTTATTCAATCAATTCGGTAATTTCTAGTTTTTAATCTACATTGAGATTCAACTGATAAGATCTTGACGTGTATTTCAAATGGCATATTTAATTGGGAAATTAATTGTCATTGTTCGAAAAATATTCACAGATATATTTCTATTGGAAGGTAAAAATATTACAGGACTCCGCGGGTGGTCGATTGATGAAAGCCTGCGTTCATTTAATTGGTTTTGTCAAACATATACTTAATCATTTTAAACAATATTTTGAAATGCTCATTGTATCAAGAATCACTTGGCTTGCTCTTAACATTGTCTAGTAAGAACAAGGACCTGTAATTTGTGAGTTTATAATCTTGGTATTCTTTTTACAGAAAATTAGCACGCTAATTGTAAAAGGATCGATAGATGTATCAGAAGACTCAACTATATCAAAAAGTATTCCTGCTGCATCGTTGCATGTTGATCATGGTACAACAAAACTTTTTGATGACGTGAATATGGATGAAAATAAGAAAGAAGACAGTGAGATCACGACTATCACGCACACCAACAAAGACGTCACGGACAGTCAAGCTCCACAAAACCAGATAGACGAAAAGACAGAAAACACATGCACAGTATCCGAGACTTTGGATGCTAACGGTAGGTCTTTTGTAAAGTTTTGGTAAGGAGATAAAATTCAGATCGTTGTGTTTTTTGATTCATTCGTTGAAATCCTATTTACGATTTCACTCACCAATCAACAGAGCCTGTGAATAAAGTTCCAATGATAAAATTAGATTTTCAATTAACATCAAAAATCTATTTACCAGTCTTATTATAAAATTAATTTACCAATATTCAATGCGAATTCTCATGTAACAGTATAATGTAGTGTTATCAACATTCTCCTATTTTTATTTCAGAATCCGAGTCTCAGCTTAAAAGCTCTTCAGAAAAAGAACAAAAGAATACAGAAATAATAAATTCCCCTCCGTCAACAACATCAAATTTTCTAGGGAAGTACATTTCTGTCTCTGAACAGACACGGATTCTTCATCCAAATCGACAAATCAGAACGATGGCCACTACATCAGAAAACATCACCAGAACATCTCCGTTATCTTCAGCGCACAATGTGAAGGCAAATAAAATTATTTATACATTTTTGTAATTAGAGGAGACTAGATTAGAAAGAATTAAATGAATACGGACGAGTGCCAAAAAAAAAATTTAATTCCCTGTAACTCGCTTGATCATTATTTCTAGTATATGGTGGTGTATGATATTATAAGTACAGACACGGATAAAATTCACTAATCTGATTAAATATTTTTCAATTTTCAGACTCCATCGTCGATGAGCGACAATATATTTGCCTCATCAGGAGGCGGGGTTGCAAATATTGACCCATTGTTTCAGATGTCATTGTTCCAATCGAGAAACTCATGTAAGACTTTGAAGTGTCCAAGATGCAATTGGCATTATAAGTACAGGTAAAATTTTACCAAATAATAAACGACAAAAAGTGTGATACTATGCCGGCCGAATCTTAACCATATATATATTTTGTGTGTACCAGGTTAGGGTTAGGTCATGAATTTATTCCGATTTTAGTTCTATTACGAGTTCAGGGACTGTTTGTGTTAGGCAAGTGAATATACTCCCTGTCCATGGGCTTCAGTTCCTTTACACAACTTGATGTTAAAGTAGGCGAACAAAATTAGTTACCTCCATATTGGTACATACACTTCTGAAGCGCCATATTCATAAATGTAAAAAAAAATTTTCATTTTCATTTTCTGATTCCGTTATAACCAGGCAAACCCTCGATGCACATATGAGAGAAAAGCATTCAGAAGACACAAGCGATTGCCTTTACTGCAATGCAAATCAGCCCCATCCAAGATTGTCAAGAGGAGAAAGCTATGCATGCGGTTATAAGGTAGGCGAAACAGAAATGAACAAGTATCTTTTAATGCAAATTGTAGGATCGCAATTTAAATGTAATAAAGTTTGATGGTCCGTCGCGGACTCCGTCCTATTGGAAAGGTACCCCGGTTTATCTATTATTCTAATTGTGACTTGGTCTAAATATTTAGCTACGATATTGAAGATGGTTCTTCTTTGTTTCTAGTTGTAAAATCGTAAACTAGTTATTAGCACTCCGTTGTTTTACCCACATGATACTTAATCACAGTGAACTCGTATAATTCACAATACAGTTCTCGGTAATTCATTACAAAGCTTGCCCCCCACAATGAAACATACGGAGTCAATGCAATCACGACATCGAGCAAAGAATTTAGAAAGATCAGATTTCATGCTATCAACTAAAAATGATTGCTAACGCTCTGCCCATTCCAACTTCCGCTCATTTAACACAGTCATTTGAAACAGCAGTTTGTTGATTATGCCAATATCATTTTCTGATTTTGAAGTTAATGCGATTCCAATCACAGTTCCCGGAGGCACTTCCTCGCCATATTTAGCTGAGAGCGTAGCATCACGTACGTGCATTGTGTTTAATGAACTATTCATTAAAAGTGGGAAAGTTCTGATTATTGCGAGTCGGAGGAAAATTTTCTGTTAAAATCCCCAAATTTGCGACAAAATATAATTCAATTATACTGTGTATCGTGCCATTGTTATGTTGGATGCGGTGATTAGTCGTGGTACACTTTTAACAAATTTCCATTACAAAGAACTCCTATTCTACCTATACTTTCCCAAACGACTCTAATCGAATATGTTATTAACATTCAGCCTTTCAAGTGCGAAGTTTGCAATTATTCTACAACCACGAAGGGAAATTTAAGTATTCACATGCAATCAGATAAGCATTTGTATAACGTCAAAACAATCCAACATCATCAACAACAAAAGGATAAAATCAACGGGCAATCTGGCAACGCCTCTAATCAACCAGGTGGAAGTGCGATTCCTGCTAGATTGCTCGCTGAAAAGCAGGAACAACTGCAGAATTTAATTCAGCAGGTAAATTCACTATACATGTTACTACATGTAACAAATACACATTTTCCATGAAATTTGTTTCAAGCTGGGCCAAACGCGCCCACTCAAATGTAGGAAACTTCATAATACAACTGAAACTGCCATTCAGCGAAATGATTTGGGGTGACAAATCCTTGACATATGCCAGGGTAGGTTTTCGGTATCTAAAATCCTATAATTCCATTATTTGATGACCTGAATTGAGTTTTTATCGTAACAATATAATGCAATGTTGACGTTTTCTTTTCCACACTCTAATTCACTTATATATTCAGGCTCGGAAGAGGTCTTCTCCTGACGCCAGTGCATCCAAGAGAACGATATTGCAACGTTCACCACCAAAATCACGCAAAGGAAACAGAGAATTTAATTCTTCTCCAACTAGTACAACTAACAGACGAGCGATGTGGAGATGCGAAGTATGTAATTACGAAACCGACAATAATCGCAACCTAAGAATCCACATGCAGAGTGAAAAACATGCACACAATGTAACATCCGCGGGGAATGCCACACTCAAATGCCTTGAAAACCTGCAGAACACATCTCTTCCGGATTCACCGACCGAGGAAAGTGAAAACAACGGAGCTGATGAGTCACTTGACATTAAAAGCAAAGAATCCACCTCTTCGGCAAATCCCCTTGCATCATTATCAGGAACAGATCAAAACTCTCCGAATCCTATGACAATGTACTATTATTTAGCTGCATTGCAGGCATCTATGCAAGGCGGACAACAAAGTGATTTGCAAGCGCCATCCAGTCCAGAAAGAGACGATGGAAGAGAAATGCAACAGAAGCAGTTAATCGCACAGCAACAACAGCTTCTCCTTGCCCAACAGTATCAGCAGATGCTCGCCCAATTGTCAGGACAAGGAGGAGACTCATCTACAACAACACCAAATCTTCTATCAAATCCATCCACTGCTTTACTTCAGCAACAAATGTTGCTTCAACAGCAAATACAAATGTGGAGACAGCTTCTTGCACAAGGAGATGGATCTCGCGCTTCACCAGGCCTTCCTCAATTGAAAACCGAATTGGATGGAAGCATGCCAGATTTAAACGTAAGAACCTAATTTGTATAAATAGATGATCCACTGAGCATAGAGCCTGTTTTTAAAATACTGTCGCAACTAGCGAGTAAAGGAAAAACGCAGGTTATCACGCTTGCCATGTTCCTCTTGGAGAGTATATATTCGCCAAATTTGCGCCGCGGTGTGCATATCGAGATTGCTGAACTGGTTCGGTTTCGAAATTAAAATATTAAAATATCAAATTTGGGACAGACCTATAAAAGGGGAAAACATTATCTGTACATCACGACGGATGTAATCTGTATTTCGCGGAAAATTGGAGCATGTTTTCTACTTACCCTGTTTCCCGTGAACGTATGGAATCATCACGAACATGATAATCAAATCATGCACTAAAGAGATAGAATTTCAGGCCACGATTAATTCATACAGAGCTTTGAAATCACAATTGTTCAGCTCGTTGATGACTTTTGATGTGATTTCTGATTGACACTTCCTCATGAGTTATTTTAGTTATTACATGTGAGACTCACTGCCGAAGCTATGCTTAGTCATGTACGAACGATCAAACTAGATTGACTTGTATTTGTGTTACAGAATTCGGGTTCAACGTCAACAAAGTTTCTTTTCACTTGTGGAATATGCTGTAATTTCTCATGCAACGATCTCGAATCCTTGTGCTCCCACGTTCGAACAACTAGATTTCCCAGGGACCCGATGGAAAAAAGTGAATGGGTCACTAAAACACCAGGAGATGGATATCGGTGTAGAATATGCAATTATACAACACAGGTAGGACCACACCAGCCACTTTAAGGCTTTTATACCTACCATAAATAATTCGATTATATTCGTTTGTGGTTACATGGACTTCCTGTGCCATATTGATAGTTATTAACTTAAATTTGTTTTTGAGCATGGGCCACTAATCAGAGAAGATTGCAAATTTCATTTCACACGGATATCTAATTGTTTTCAAAACGGAATTGGTTTTTAATGAGTTAGTTGCAGTTTTGTTGATAAATGGGTCTTGTTTTTTGAAATTATTTCTTTTGAAGGTTTAACATAGACCTTGAGGTCATTCGTTTTTCGGTTGTTATATAAATGGGTTAATTATGCGTTTGAAGAAAGGGGCAATTATGTTGCGTTTCTGCAGGCACTTTTATCGCCCAATTATGCTGTTTGTTTACTCGTCGCTTTCAAAATAAACTAATAGGTAAAAGAAGTTTTGGGTCAAAGTTAATAGAGTCGGCACCACAACAGAGCCCTGGGGCGCTTAAATTGGTAATTTGTCGGGTTTTGCCATGTACTATTATTTATGTAGCAGGCAAAGTATCTCATACTCAGTAACGACGAATCGAGGAAAAAATTTGTACACGGATCACTTATTAGAGACACTTTAATTATTGTCAGTAATATCGCGTAGTCACGCCACTCAGCGTTTCTGTCATTACCAGAAACAAACTAGGCCTCACGCACGGATGACTTTATATTGGCTGTGACTGAGCACGATTAGTTGATGGCTCTGAGTTGTGTTAATTGCGTATGCATATGAATAACTGACAAAAGAGTGTCAAAATTTTGTAGAAACGCCCAACGGATATTTCGTGATTTCATCGCAAATATTTTGCCAGTTGATTGAGTGAACACACTATTCTGCTACATTGGTGGTCGTACTGAATCCTTTTAGTTTTGGATAAATGATTGTAAACATATTGTTTGAAAAGGAAATGGATAAAGAGAACAATGTTAGGCTTTTATATTCGGTAATATGGATTTGGTTCTTACACTTGATCTTGGAAAGTCACTGAAAGTAGTAATATGATTAATTGGGTAAACGGAAAGAAAAACCTCATTTTAATGTCACTTATTTCTGGAGGCTGCCTTTATTTTTTGGTACCTAATTTATAATCTCCTATAGATATGTAACGAAAGACACAGAAAATTCCTGAATTTTACAACAAATAATGGGTATTAATCGGAGGGTATATTTTACCTTCTCATTTCTCGAGTATGGGGACTGGGAAGCATAGCTACCTCACTCCAAATTCAAGAATGACCTTGATACCGAGTACATCTTTTTAGTGTTCGAATATTCGTTTAGTTTTTAATTTTAGATTCCCCAGTTTGCAAACATCAAATCCCATATTAATTCATCCATAACCTTTCCCTAATTTGAACTAATAAGTCTCATTTTGAAATGCCTTGGGAATGCGCGAATAAATAACTGGAGCCGTAAGGAGTCGTGCGTGTTGAATAAATTTTGTCATTTTCAAATGAATCGACGTATAATTGGCAAATGTTTAACAAAATTTGCTTGTTGGTGGTCGCGCTTAATACGCTCTAGTTTTTCTCTTGCTATAATATCCCGGTTGAGCTACTGGTCTGTTTGTTTTATATAATCGTTCGACACCCGTATTTCATACACAGTCTAAATAAAAGTCTCTAATACGATTTTGTTCAAATTATCACAAAAAATTGTTTATCTTTTAAGCTTTCTTTATAATCATATCGCGGGACCTTCTCATTGTATTTATATTTTATGCTTTTTCAACGCACCATCAGCCAAATGCACCACCTAATTGTATTAAAACGCCTAATCGAGAGCATCCCGCGGCGTCGCGGCCCTTTGTGTTGCTTATTAGAGAACGTTTTCTCATTATTAGCGCCGACATAATTCATAATTCCCGTTGTCGAGGCCCGGGAGTCTTGAATAATTCAGAAGAGCAGCGTAATAAGTTTTCTAATTTGGAACCGTCACAGCCGTGTGCTAATGAATGAATGAATATACGAGCAGAATTTAACCTCGGTACGAGATAATTTACTTGGAGTTTTGAATATACCCTCAAAATTGGCCAGTGCGTAATTTAACCCTTTCATGACACGATGCTGCCCCATGACACACTTTTCATCAAACTGTAAACACCCATAATAGAGTTAATCAGTCAGTTGTTATGATATCCTTGATAGATGCGTTCCTGTATGTCGCATCCAGGCATTCATCTTGTGTAAACTGTATTAGATTTATTGTGACTCCCTTATGAAGATGCTGGGAACCTTAGGTTGTGCATATTGCATGCAAGGTGGGATTAGAACTCATAATTCCACTGAAAGTGGAGAAGCCAGAGGTGGTTTAACGCCTGCGTTCGTACGGAGTGATTGACATTTTGAAGTTTTATGAATTTTTATCCACGAGGAGGCGAACTTGAACTGCAATAATACGAAACTAATCATACGTGTAGAGTGTTATTTTTGTTCCGTCGAACTCAACATTCTCTAAAGAATTCTGTGGCGTAAATATCGCCAGGTTTCGTATTTGTATAGACAGAAATCATTTGATAATATTAAAGCGTGATAAAGTTTATTTTTATAATGATGCAGAATTTTTTTCGAGAAGCAAGTTTTACATAGGTAGAAATTAACACAATCAGTATTTCAAATTCACCCTGAAAACTTCAAGCAAAAGATATGCTCCAATTTAACGACCAAATTTAGGTGTACCTTGGGTAAAAATTTTTGTTTTACTTTTGTTTGTATGTCGTATTTTTCAAAATCGGGATTTGCGGTATTCACCGATAAGAATACGAGACATTGTTGTTTTCCCGGCTATAAGTCATCCATACGTTACATTGGCCCGTTCCTAACTCTGATTAAGTTTACATTAGATAAGACAAACGAAACGGCGTTTCCGCGAGTATTCAGGACGTTCTGGGTATCCAACATAGGTCATTTTCGATTGAATTCCTTGTTATTTTCATCAAGTGTTGTAGAATTATAAAATCATTTCATATTATTCATAGCCTCACATCAATATAAAATTATTAATTACATTCTTAATATAATATTTTTATGGCAAATACCTTTTGTTCCACTTAACGATTTAATCAGAATTCCGTCAGACGCCTTTATTACATATGACATCCTGTTTATTAGACTCTTGACGACAATCGAAATCACTCTTTCTTATAAAAACGATAAAATCAAACCGAAATAATCAGGATGTGAATAAGAGAACGGCACGCAACGGTAATTAATAACTAGAATGAATATGAAAATGCAAATAAAGTGAGGACCGTAAAACAACACAACGCATTGAATCTCTTTTTGGCTGATTAACGTTTTATTTATAAACCAGACGTGAAATGTGAATAACCCACGCCCGAATTGACTGAAATACTAACTTTTCATGCTTGGCCACGTGTATATCTGCTCCTCATTGGAACCAGCCAATTAGTCGCCAGCACCAATATTACTGGATTAGACATTCTCATTAACTTTCTATTTTCTGTAAGAAATTATACCCACGGAGAGCGTTTTTTAACCCTTTTCATGTGTCGTTGTGACCAAATTTAATAATAAACTGATAAGAAAAAAATTTGCGTTCACGAAGAGGGTTAACGCACGCATTGTAAGCCATCAATAATGTATGGGCGCCGTTGTCATTGCTTCGCGTAAACGTTGTAAAACGATTCAGGCTTCGATCGGTTCTGGGGGTATCTTTGTCTAATACGCATACGTGAAGTCATTAGTTGAAATTAAAATATTTCAGCAACTACACTTATTTTCAAAGTTCTATTATTCACATATCATTATATTATAGTTGCTATGAGAAAACAATGTGACACGCCAATCATTTTTAACATTGCACACAGATTTTTGAACTTTGTATTAATATTAAATTGTTCTGTTGTTTGTTAACTTTGGTCGTTCATTCTCCATAAACGTAATTCCAAATAGTCTCGTCATGTCTCTTGCGGATGACTCATATGTATAATAACTCCAGTCGTCTATTGTGATTAATTAATTAAATAAACAAACGAAAACGAGCCTCGAAAAGTGTGTACGCTCGTGAACTGCTTGTTTGTAATGCGCTGTTTTTGACCTGCAAATTGGTTGGGATTAAGATCAGTGATAATTTTTTCATTTTTATGGTCAATAATGGTAAAAACTGTGAAATACTGCCGTTATTCTGTTTATTTTCATCTATATATATTTACTCTGGGTAAAGTCATAACAATTCATTCAAAAGTGAACTTAAATGATCTAAAAGGTCGTATGTGGTTTTGAGATTCTACAGGCCACCCTGTACATCAAGTGCCTTGATGAGTATTTGGCAACGCTAACGAATTGGGACTATGTCATCTAAAAATTACATCATGAACTCGAGGTCACGTTAAGATTAGAATTCCGTGAAATTCGTATTTTCGGATAATCCGTTGTTGGTTATATAAACCAAATAAATCTTTGCTATATGTTATCGAAAATCGGTAATCAGACAATAATGAATTGAACGTATTAAACTGGATTATTTTTGTGTTGGTATTGAAAAGCATTAATTACAGTTGGAGCATAGCGATTCAGCCGAATGAACTCGCGATGGGTACGCCTATGGTGAACAGTGACATTTTTCTTATGACCACTGTTATTCGTAATAAAATATCTTAACCATATTTTGAACAGTGATGTATGAAGACAACTAGATATTTTTATTAGTTATTCTATTGCATAAATATATTTATAGCAGGGATTTCAATGCTGTCGGAGTCTAGTTTTCTGCATTTACGTTTGTAATGTTTTTTCAATATTTTGTAGTACCGTATTCGAAACTTGCTTTGAGGTTTCTCTTTTATTTCTGGAAGTAGAAAAATCACATTTCACAACGTTAAAAATATGTAGACAATCAAGAATTTCTCGTTCTTTCTATTTATTCGTAATGAGCCGCATGCGAAATTATCAAACGCAATCAGGGTTAAAAGAGTTAGGTAATCCTTCTTTACCTATTCAACGACCGT